CAAGCATCGTGTGTCGCTGCTGGAGGGGGGGACGGGACACTTAGATTGTGGTTTTTATTATTATTATTATTATTATTATCTGCTGATGAGTCCTGGGTGCGATTGTGCTCTTCCTCGTGCTGATCTGGAGGAGGGTTTATCCTCGGATGCAGCGCAGCATCCTCCAGAGAGGCTCTTGCCAGGGCCCAGGCAGAAGATCTCCTCCCTCCCCTGGTTTTCCTCAAGCCCGACTACTGTAGCTGCCGCTTCCGATGCCATTTCATTTATAGTGGGGAGGGAAAACCCCTCCTGGAAGTGGCGTGGGGGTGGGAGAACCTGCCTTTGGATACACGACCTCAAATAAAGAGATGATTTATTTTATGGACATCCCGTCTCCAGCTTCCTCTGAGCTCCCACCCCTCCGTTGATTTAATTTCCCTCCCTCTTCTTGCCCTGGACACTCCCATTTGCAGCCTGAAAAATGGGGTCAAAGTCACTTCTCCAGTGAGGTGTCACATTTGGGGTGGTTCACGTTTGTGGTGGCTGTGCCAGGGCGGAGGCTTCGCTGCTGTCCCTCGCTGTGTTCCCTTCCATGCTGATAAAACAAAGTGACTATTTGGGGACCATTTTCCCCATGAAATCGCGTGTTTTCCTTAGAGATAAGAGCAGAAATGCAGCAGGTGCCTTTTTTCTTCCCCTATGGTTTTTTTTTTCACCCGGGTGAACTGATAATCACCGCTCCCACCAACGCTGTTTCCCTGTGACTGCTCCTTCAGCGGAGTGAAAACCTCGGCGTCGCAGGTTCACCCTCCAGAACGGCCTCAGTTTCTTTTTGAAGGAGGGGGGGGCAAAAAATTAAACCATTTTGGCCAGAAATCAGTTTTTTTAATTACCAACCACCTTGGCGTTTCGTTTGCCCTCAAAATAACGCCCCACGGAGGTGGCGTCCGGTCCCTGCTCCAGTGCTGGCTGTGCTGGGTGGGGTTGTTTGGGAGGGGGTGAAGGTCTCGCCCTGCGTTTGCCTCGATTTCCCCGTCGTGGCGGCGAGGTGGGCGCAGTTTGGATAAAATTCTTGAAGGCATCGCACGAATAACCTCGCTGCCAGCCGGGGCCTCCGCAGGGCTCGAGCCCAGGAGAAACTCGTGACCGCGGTGCCCGAGAGGTGCAGAAGAGGAAGATGCAGGAGCAGGGCGTCGTCTCCCCGGGGATTCGGGCTGCCTCTCCGAAGCCGAGGCAGACGTGGGGAGCACCCAGGGGTTTCCAGCCCTGACTTTCGGGGCCGTGTGTGTTTTGGAAGAAGAACCAAGGCTGCTCGATAGGGCCGTGTCACCTGGTTTTCTTCCCGTCCCTCCTTCTCCGTCCCCATTAAAGCCGCCGGCGGCGCAGCCCCCGCCGCAGACGAAGCCTCGCCGCGGTCTGGGACGATGCTGCAGCTCGGGGTCC